AAAACAGTATAATTGTGCATATAAGAAGTGAATAAAAAAAAAAAGTAAAAAAAAAACTATCATTTATTTTAACTATTATTGAAAAAGTTATTCCAATAAACTTAAAACTCAAGTTCCTTATGATTTTTTATTATCTGTAGTTAGTCAGACTATTTATTTCTATTAAAGTAATTGATGTTTAAGAATGTTTAAGGACATTTCTAGGAGAGTATTTCTTGAAGCTTTATACTTAAAGACTTTTAATCAAAAGAGATGTTAATTTTCTATTGTTAATTTTTTTTTCAAGTTATGTTTTTCTAAAATTATTGCTTTATTTAACTGGTAAATAGTTTTAAAATCTTTTTTTCCAACTATTTTCAGAATAAATATTACTACTTTAACTTGTTGCCAAATTGGAATAGGACTTAGATCTTGTTATTACTTTTTATTTTCAAGAAAGAATAGAAAAATAAAAAAAAAAGAAAAGAAAAATAAAAAAAGAAATCATTACTCTTTTATTCACAACTTCTGTTTTACTTAATACTCTTATACTATATCTTTAATGGACAGGCTAGGTCTAAAAATAGAAGAAAAGTTAACTAAGAATTATTTAACTCTTTCAAAAACTAATTACATCATTGATTTGGTATTGCATAATTGAAAACATATAAGAAGTATATGTTTTGTTTACTTTTTTTGTGATTGATATAATTAATCAATCTGTAATTTTAATCAATTATTTTTCAAAAGATTTGGTGTATCCAAAAATTCAGGGTCAAACTAAGGTAGACAAAATTTCTCAGAAAAACAAAAAAAAAAAGAAATATATTTGAAAGAGAAAAAATATAAAGTTAAAAAAATAATGGAGAGACTGAAAACTTTTTTATTTTTGTTTCTTTAAATTCTTGAATTTCTTAAGAGCCTTTGAAGAATATTTTTTCTTATTAGCTTTCTTCCTAAGAAGGTGTTCTTGCTATAAGTCTTTTAGATAGATTTTTTGTATTTAGTTACAAAAATAAACAAAAAAAGTATTTTAAAAAGGAAAAATAAAACAAGTGATAATTGCTACTTGCTTTGTTGATTAGAAAACCAATGTTGTTAAAAAAAGTATATAAACTTTATTATTAAAAATAAATAAAATATTTTGAAAACATTTATTTTTTGGGTTGATAAAAGAAACATTTTTAATATATATTTTAATTTTAATATATATAATTTTAATATAAATGCTTATTAATTATAAACTTATTTATTTATATTATATTTTTTCGAGAATTTCAAACAATAGTTAATATTAAACTTGAAGTTTAAAAAAATAATATATAAATAAATAAATAAATATATTAAAATATAACAAGCTTATTAAGATACAAAGAAACTATAGAAATAATAATAAAATTAAATTAAATCATAAAAATTTTTTAATCATTTTATTTTATTGTTTTATATATTTTAATTTAATTTAATTTTTTTATTTGTTTTTATTTAAATATAAAATATAAAAAACATAAAATTAATTTTTATTTAAATTAAATTAATTGATTTTGATTTAAAATTTTGATATTTATCTATTATTATAATTAGAAGCAATCAAATAATTTTTAAATCAAACTTGTATAAATTTTTTTTATTATTTATAATACAAGAAATAATAATAATTATTGATTTATTTTTTTTTATTACAAAAGTTTTTATTCAAAACAATTATAATTTTTTAAATACGTATATTATAAAAATAATTTATAAATAATTTAATTTTCTTTTTATTAATATTGATTGAATAGATACTTATAGTTACTTGATAATTTTTAATAGTATATATTATTTTAAAATTTAATTTCAATAATAATCAATTGATTTTTATAAGCAAATTAATATTTAATTTATTGTATTTATATATAAAAAGTATTATATATTTTACAATATATATTTTTAATATATAAAATAAAATAAAGAAATAATGTTTACCTATTATAATAATAATAATATTATTATTATTATTATTTAAAAATCTTAATATTTTTTTACTTGTTTTTGTTAAATATTTTTTAAAAAGTTTAGATTTCTAAATAATAATAAATAAATAAATTAATATATAATAAGAAATATAAATAAAATATTTAATTCATCTATTTTATTTTATATAATATTAGATTTAATAATATTATTAATTATAAACATATATACTTGTTTAACTATATAAAAAAAATAATTACATATATTATTTATTTTAATGACTTTTTAAAACCTTAACTTTAAAAAATTTCAATTGAATAAAATTGTTTATAACTTTATTTTATTAATATTAAAAATTAAATAAAAAAAAAAATATTATTTTCAGATCCAATAATAACAAATAGCAAAATATATTCTTGATAGCTAAATTGTATTTATTTAAAGAAATTATTGCGATATCAAATTTACAATACATTTATACAAGCAGTTTAATATACAGTATATAACAATAAGGTCTTGTATCTAATACAATTTTAAAAGATTAATGAAGCTATTTAGAATTCCTTTTTATCAATCATACAATACGATAATACAAGTTTTTTCTAAACCATCTATCATGGAAAGATGACATGACATGCTGCATAAAAAAGAATGTCATTGTTTAATTTTCTGTAAACCACATTTTTAATAATCATTGATCGAATCTTATTGAATTTAATATCATTGAATCTAATATCATTAAATCTAATATCATTGAATCGAATCTTATTGATGATGGATGTAATCGATTTGTTTATTAACACCAGACCTTTGATATCGTAAAAGAGACCACTTATTGATAAGAGTCATATCGGCTATTATAATTTCCTGGTTGATAATAAATTAAATATACACAGATGACCATATATATAATAGTAATAAAACAAATATACCGTATGTGGGGTATGTGCGCAGTATTTGTTTTTTAACTATACAATATAACGCATTGTGTGATGAATTGATCAACAAAGAATTATTTTCCCTCGGCGCATTCTTGAGATCGAAATTCTTTTATGAAGGGAGAGTTTTTTCGAATGCCAAAGAATTTGTAAAAATCGGGTTGACGGTTAGAATGCAGTGATTCTTTTTTAAAAATGCAAAACATACGCATCATTTATGGCCGATTTGAATCATCGCAGTTGAACATGTCAATGAATGAAACCGGAAATTTATTTGAGAGAAAGAAAAGCATTACTATTTTTAAAAAAAACACACAATAGCGGATAACCGATTAAACACGAAATTACCCAGAGTTGATATTTGTGGAACCGGGGACGCAAACACAAGAAACGCAAATTTACTTTTTTTATACAGGAGGTCAGAGATGCATAAATTGTTTGTTAAATATGTAAGTGGGAAGGCACATAATCCAAACGCATGAAAATGCCAACCAGCCACCTAAAGGATTGTTGAGTTGACTCATATGCGAGGTAATTCTGTATTCGTATTTATGTGGAAGCCAGTGTGAAATTCCCGAAATAAGATCCAAACATGTAAAATCGACATGTTGGAAAGTACTCTTGACCTGGAACAAATGGTCACAGTGCATCGACGGATAGGCGGATGGGCGGATGTGAGAGGGAGAGCTTAAACCCATTGGGCAAAGACGGTGCCGGATTGTTGAATCGTCTACCTATACTAAGGAGACCTTCACGTTGCTATTAACATAAAGACCACGCGCAAGTTTTGAACAAGTGATAAGAAAAGGTCTAATTGTCAGACAACAATGAAGTAATAGGCACAAAACATATAATTTTGTAGATTGTAATCAGATGTTTAGTGTAATTGGTATAGCACCAAGCCACTCTTCACAGTTACGATCAGCCAATTATCATAAATGAGCAAAAAGATGGCATCAGTGAACTCCGAATCCTTGTGATTTTGATAATATTTGGAAACCCTCTGCAGTACAAACGCCTGAAAGAAAGAAAACGATATAAAAAAAATTTTTTTTTTTTTTCTCAATCAATCGCCAGTTACTATATACATATTGTAGTCGGTAGACCCTTGGTTTATAAAGCTTGTGTTCACATTTTTTTCCGAAAGCCTCTTGACCCAATTTACTTTTTATCTTTTGAAAAGTTACAATCTAAAAATATTCAATCGAAATAAAAAATTATTATTATTATCAACTTTCTGTCATTTTTTTTTTTATCTGAACATCTTGATAAAAAACTGTCGGGAAAAGAAATAAATATCAAATTTACGTTCACCCTTTCAAAACTAATAGAAAACCCTTTCAAAGTAATGTCACCCCGAACGAATTCGCCCCCACCGTCGTCTTACGATGACATGGACTACACAGACTATCGCCCGGGAACTTCGTTTCGTTCTTCAGCCTTTGGGCAAGCTTCTCATAACAACCACCAATTTTATTCCGTATCACCAGCGCAACCTTCTTCGTCAATCTCAAGCACTGCCGCGACAACCACCAGTGTTCGAAATAATCTCAAGAGGGAAAAGAATTCACCAAAAGGTTTAGCTTCGGTTCTGCATTTTCCTCTAAACATACCGCGCCGTCTACTCTCTTCGACCTTGGTGCAAGTTACCTCTCTCACAGTGATATATTTATTCTGTATAACGACCGTTTGTTTCATATTCTGCACCTCATACGTCCTTACGTTCTACGATGATACCCGGAGAGTCTTCCGAACATCGCGCGTTTGGGCACAAGTGAAAAACGGTGTGAGGGATAGGATTTCCATGTTAGGAGATGATTGGGAGGAGTTCTTTCAAAAATATTTCGATGGTGTCGATGTGAACAGAAATGGACACCTTGGTGGCAAGACAAAATAAAAAAAACGACAAGGCTTTTTTATTTTTTCAAATTCCCGTTATCTGAAATTAGATGTTTGTTACCCGATCTTAGGTATCTGTAATCTAAAAAAGTTGCGAGGCCATCAGTTATATTTAAAATACCAAAAGATTAGAAACAATTCGTAATTATTAATAAAGTTTTCACGCTCAAATTATTAAATCTAAGTATGAAATGACACAAGAGTTAGGGAGAGCCGAGAATTCAACTGATGGTGTCATGTGGATTTCCGACAACCATCTCAACTACTACGATCTTCTCGGCGAATAAGGATAACAAAACAAAGGAGGACTGCGGACAACGACCGCAAAAAACAACGGGAGAAGTCGACATTCCATTAAGTAACGCCATTCATTCCTATTCATTGTTATCATTCATTGCATCACGATAGATGAGGTGTTGATACGAATACCTTTTAACATAACTTAACTCTGTATATTATACAATATGTTATTTATTTTTATCTCTATATATGTTTTTTTTATTTGTACCATTTTTCATTATGTTAATCAATCATCATGTCGCTAGAACCATTTTTACTTCCGAAACCATATTCTCCATTAATACATGTAGTCAAAATAAACAACTCTCCCCTCTTAATCAAAACCAATCACTTGCCATCTACGGATGTCACAAAAAAATTGACCCAATCTATCCATCTCCAGAAAACTACGCTATCTGCGTTATCTCCATCTGTATTTACACTATCTTTCGCAACTTACTCTGGTTGATGCAACTGTTATAAAGAAACTCACTTTTCACATGAATAACTCATTACTTGGCAAACGCATATATCATTTCGTCATTAGGCAGTAATGTGCATGTGATCTTGTAGGGATGTAGAGAGTTTGGTTTAGTTCGATCCGAACTTGGGGACAGGGAAATTCGGTACGATTCGGTTTTATCCGAATTAGATAAATTATTATTAGAATCAATGATCAAATGCAGGTGTTTGCGTTATTAACCTTTTTGCTAATGAAAAAAAATAAAAAAAAAATGAATCATTCGATATGTGTGTGTTGTGTTGTATTATGTAAACCTTAAATGGGATACAACTATCCAAATTCTTTGCATTTAGAAAAAATTATTAATTCAAAAGTTTGTAAGGTTATGCGTTTTCCGATTCGCTGCGGTTTTTACACGTCACTTTGGTGAGAAGGCATAAGGTGCGAGGGCACTGAGTTTGGACCGGTGCGCTGGGGGCGAACATCAATTACTCGAACCGGGTTAACCGAAAATCTCAACAAGTGTTTCTGACAGGATGAATGCTGCCTTATATTCTTGCAAATGCGTTTTCTGTCCATGTGATTACACGAGCAAACCTGATGTTATACAATGTGTCGTAAAACATGTGATTTTCAATCCTGATCTGATTATCTCACGCATATTTTCTCCGAGACCTCAACAGCGAATGGTTAAAGCGTACCAACTTAACCAATAAACCATCTACACCAAGCTGCCGTGCAGCAAAATCGAAGCAAGTATCGCAACGTCCATTCGAAATAATGTCATCTAATAGAAAGCGTAAACCCATAAGGTAAATGTTTTATGGCAAGGTGCACGCTGTAATTTTGTCTTTTATATATGACTTTTAACATGGTTACGCGTATGCCTATTGTCCTGAAAAGGGTGTGGGTAGACGGTTGCTTTGACATGATGCATTATGGTCACGCCAATGCTTTGCGTCAGGTAATTAAATTTTGGTAGATATCCTTTTCCCGTGATATATCTATCATTTATTTGCCCCCCGTCTGTTTTACTAAGGCGAAGGCAATGGGAGATTTCCTTGTAGCAGGCGTTCATTCGGATGCTGAAATCGAGAAAAACAAAGGTCCAACTGTCATGAAAGAGGAGGAAAGGTATATGTCTTCTACATTGATCGATGATGTTTCTTCATTGCCACCTACTGATATCTCTTGGTAATCAGATACGCTGCCGTCGCTGCTTGCAAGTGGGTCGATCTCGTGGTTCCGGATGCACCCTACATCACAAGTCTCGATGTAATGGATCAGTATGATTGCGATTTTTGTGTCCATGGTGATGACATAACCACGGCTGCAGATGGGACGGACTGTTACCAGGCGGTGAAAGATGCGGGTCGTTATCGTGAATGCAAACGTACTCAAGGTGTCTCCACCACGGAGCTCGTGGGACGCATGTTGCTTATGACACGTGATCACCACCATCGTCGTTCTTCCATTTCTTCTATCAATAACGAAGATCTGAGTACCTTCAGTAGCAGTGCGTCCAAGCAAAGTCCTGAGACAAAGATTTCACATTTTTTACCCACTTCCAGAAGGATAGTGCAATTTTCGGAAGGAAGGGAGCCGAATCCTGGGGACAAGGTTATTTATGTCGACGGAACTTTTGATCTATTTCATGTTGGTCATATTGAGTTCTTGAAAAGAGCCAAGGATCTGGGTGATTACCTTTTGGTCGGCGTTCATGACGATCAGGTGATTAATTAATTGTGTCTTGACTTCCAACCTCGGGCGTTTTTTTTTCTTCAACCAACAACATTGGTCTCTTACTTTTGATATCCATCCCAATAGACGGTTAATGCTATTAAGGGTGTAAACTATCCACTGATGAATTTACACGAACGCGTGTTAAGCGTTCTCGCGTGTAGAGTAAGTTCTTCATTGGTGGATGAACTTTTTTCTCTTTTACGATAGCCTGATTTTTCTTTTCTTTGCATCATAGTATGTCGATGAAGTCATCATCGGGGCACCATACAGTGTCGACGAAAACGTATTGTCTAAAGTTTACAAGGTGGATATCGTCGCTCATGGAAATACCCCTTCTCTGCCTGACATCAATGATGAAGACCCGTACAAGGTGAAGGAGGCAATGTTTAATCAAATATCATGTTTAACACCTCATCGAATTTCAGTATATTCAAACGCATCTTTATTTAGGTTCCAAAAGAAAAAGGGATCTACAAAGAAATAATAAACCCCGCCGCAGACTTGACTACCGACAGTATCATCGAAAGAATAATTGAACATAGAAAGAGGTAATTATATATATATATATATATATATTGCTTCTTGGCTAAGCAATTCTGATTGTTTTTTTTTCCTCGACCAGGTACGAAGAACGACAGTTAAGGAAAAACAAAAAGGCGCAATTGGAGGCGGAAGCCGAAAAATTGGAGAAAGAAGCATCGAAACGTTGAGACTTTCAACCCTTCAATTTATTGAAAATCTTTTCAATAATTTAATTTAATCTCAAGGCCTTTAGTATATTTAATTAAACGACTAATTACTTCTAATTTTGAAATGTTGATAGTAAAGTTCGATTCCTTTTTTTTGTTAGTGCTTGCATGCTATGTGTTATCTCCAGAAGAATGATTGCCTGAAGTTAAAAAAATATACGTATATTAAAAAACGATAAAAGCACATCAACTTGAGCAAAGTAAACGAATTTTGCAACTAGCTTAAAGAATAAACTAATCGGAATATCGATGTGAAAAAAGGTTTTTTTTTTTTTTTTTTCTTTTTATATCGATACCACACAAAATTCGATCAAGCCCCCAATCCAATAAGCTGGATGTGGCGATCTTATATTAAACTGTATAAAATTGATTTTTACAATAGGATTATCCATCCTCGCTCATTGAGAGTCGTGATGTTAATTGTTTAGGGTTCTCACCACAGAGTTTACGTGACCATCATTTAATTAAACGAAACAAAAGAATGTCGAATTCATAAATATTTCTTCATCCTCTGCAACGCCGGTTAAAATATTAAAATGTACCCTTTTGCATGAGTTCTGGATATTTTGCGCCGATCGCGATCACAACCTCCTCTACATGGTGACACACATTTTGAATCGCCGAGTCCCATTTTGCCCCAAATATGCCCCCTACTGACTTTCCGTGACCAGTTGCTGAACTGCTTTCAAAAAAGATCAATCTCTCGATCTGATCGATCGTCCCTTGCATGCGATTTTGTTCTATCATCGAACTAGCAATTTGTTCAGCCTGATCGGGAGTGATGGCTAACAAGGATCCAAGCTCCTCGAATGTGATATTGTTGTATATCATGGAGGCTGATAAGAGATTATGTTCAATCACGGCACGATCAAGCACCGTTGTACCATCGGCTAGGCGAGCACGCTGATGATCTTTGAGCGTCTCGGCAAATCCTTTGACTTCATTTGGTCGCAAAACACGATCCAGGTACATTTTCTCTAGGATGGAAAAGTGTGGCAAACGTTGCACCCGTTCATCTTTATAGAGCGTAGCCAACATACGCGACCGTTGTGGACCGGCTCCCGTGAGCACCGCACAAGTGATGGCCGCATTCCTGGTATAATTAAAGAATCATTAATGCGCGTCAACAATTGTGAAAATGCGAATTCACAGAGAATTCTAGGGATAATGATCACTGACAGACAAATAATCCGCTCTTCTGGCACTAATTCAGTGACGTAACTCAATTCATGGTATTTTGAGCTGGCTTCAAGAAATTTCCTCTTGAAATCAAAAATTTTTGCCTGTGACAATTTAAACGTTAAATTGATAACTTGATCTTTACAACCGGGTATCAGTAACGCGGCGCGACTAAGATAAGTTTCGGCCGATACGGCCTCATCCTCTTCCAAAAGAAGTCGGACAATTTTAATGTAAATTCCAAGTTTATATTCATCTGAGATCGTTCTTATAAAAAGAGAAAACGTGTAAATGAAACAAATAGGCTTTAGAAAGTATAAAATCCCAAGAGACCAGGTACCGATGCCCAGAATCCAGCGGAATCCCTTGTAATACTTTGGCGGCTTCAAGCCAACTCTCTTCGTTCTCGTAAATTTCTGCTAATTTTTCGCGAAGTGTCGAGATCTGCAAAGAAATATCTATTTCATTCATTGCGAGAAAATTGGTCGAGGCTTTTCGAAACATTGGGCACTTGAATCAGTTTAACCTGTTACCTGTTCTTCGAAGCTCACAACTCTAGGTTGGACTTTTCCCAGCGCAAAGTGTAATACACGCTTTTTGATTTCAGAGTTTTCTATCTTATCAACGCCCTGCACGAATTCCGTTAACACTTGGCGAGAGACCACCAAACCAACTTGCTCCTGCACTATGTGATCAACAAACTTTTCCAATTCTTCCGCTAGAATTGATTCGTTTGCCGAAGAGGTAAGAACCGTTTCCAGTAGCGAACGGTATTTGGCGGTTTTATCCTTTTGCGAGGGAATTCCCGCGATCGAGACGAGTTGCTCTTCAATGTCGGCCATAGCTGCAAAAGCAATTACAACTACGTAATCCTCTGACTGAGGTCATATGAGGACTCAAAATCGAGTCATGTGTCAAACACTATCAAACAATCATTATATATAGCGATAATAAATCAACATATAGTATACATTACATAATGAATGCAATTTATTTTAAGAATGATATTACTTTTTATAATAAGTTAAGTTTATAAATTAACAATTAATTGACCAAGGAAAATTAGAAATCTTATTAATAAAGAAGATTAAATTAATTATTTCCCATGAATGGATACAATTTCTTCGAGACCGCAGGTGTGATGAAATTGAGGTTTAAAAATCTTTCAAAGAGTCAGTCATGTGATACAATTCACATAACCAAGTTATATCTGAATTCACATTTTACATACAGTATTTTCATTGTACATTTTATATACAGTGTATAGTCTTTTTAAGTCAACCAAATCTACTAGACTGCTAGTACAACTGCCACCAAAACTCCTGTTGGTAAATCCCCAGCAAAGGTAACAGCCAAGGCACCAAAAGGGAAGAAAACCAAAGGTGGAGTTAGAAAGAGAGAGGTGCACAAGGAGGCCTTCTCGAGTCATCTATATAAAATACTAAAAGATGTATATATTAATTTTCAGTCTTTGCTCTCAACATTCAGTGGGAAATCCATTTCTCATCTTCGTTAAAGTTGCATGCAAATGATTTTGATTTTTTTTTACGTAGGTTCATCCTAACACAGATATTTCGATTAGGACCATGTCTATACTCAATTCGTTTATCAATGACATCTTTGTCTATATCGCCAGCGAAACTTTTAAGCTTGCAGCGTATAAGGAGGATTCGACCATTACTTCAAGAGAAGTTCAAACGGCCATCCGCCTGTTATTGCCAGAGAAATTAGCAAAGCATGCCATTTCGGAGGGAGCAAAGGCTGTCACAAAATACGCGAGTTTCTCAATAAAGTAATAGTCATTCATAACTAAATTTTTTTTTTTTTCAAACGAAACGCGCAAAAACATTAGAGGATCAATAATTAAATATTGGATCATCCCATACTTTTTCTCATAATTGGGACATAGTCCCGGTTTTTGCAGGTGTTCTTTATACTGAAAAGATCACAAATTGTATTAATGAAGTTCACTACATATCAGGAATAGTGCATCGACATTTGCAATTTGTCAGTCCTATAATTGAGACTCGGTTTTTCACGTGATCGATTAGATAAGTTTCATCCATCTCTTTCGGAAATTCGTTCAACAATCGATTATGGTCCTTACGATCTTTTCCAGAACCACTGCAAAGTTTGCCGCAAGATCCAACGCATTTCAAGGTTTCTTTGCACGTGGTTTAACCACTGCCGAGAAAGCTAGCAATACCACCAAAGGTGCTTTCAGCAAATTTGCCGGTAATATATTTTTGAATTCAAAATTTTTTTTTGCTCGATTCTATTCATATTTTTTACCATCGCCTTTGAATTCTTCCACATTGCAGAGCTTCGAAAACCAATTGTTTACAACGCCAAGGTTCTAAAGGAGTTAGCAAAGGAAGTTTACATCAAGGAGAATCTTCGTCCTCCCAACCAATCTCAAATCTCGGAGGCCTGGGAAGCACTCAAATCCCTTAAATGGAGTTACATTAAAAACGCTAGCGTTAAGGACATTAAAATATTCGGAGTACGGTCCTTGGAATGTTTGGGATTTTTCGCTATCGGAGAAGTGATCGGAAGAAGAAGTTTAATTGGTTATAATTAAATTTGAGAATCTGATAAAAGGAAACGCCGATAAATCGCATATTTTTATGTTTTTCTCCATTAAACCACTTTGAATAGAATTTTTCGCTTTGAACAATTATTGGATTTAGAATGTTTTCGGTAAATACACAAGTAATCAAGATGATACAAGATAGAATTTTCTGGGAAAAAATAGTCATGATTATGATTCATGTTACGTTGTTTACCTCGAGATTTTGGTGAATTTGACGTCAGAAAAAAAAAGTATAGTGAAAAAAGTAAATCATGCGCCAAGCTAAACTCTATCACTCGATCACATATGGAGCACATGTCATTTTAAGGTCGAATTACTATCATTAGTAGAATTTTCTTGTGAACCACCTTGGGTAAGTTGTTCCTTTTGATTCACGTGAAAACAGAAAAAGAAAAATCAATGCATACAAGGTCAGTCAGAGTTATTATAGTCGAAGTGAACGAAAGACATCAATTGAAGGTTGATATGATAGAATCCGAGACGAACCAATTCTTTTCGCGTAGCCCATTCTTTGCCTTGTGCGATCCTTTTATTGAACTGAATACCTATTCTTATGGAACCATAGACTGGCGCGTAAAAAGGAGAATGTGTTAATTTATTTCACCATCTGCTATCTAACCAAGTCATCGATCGATAAATAAGAATGAATTCAAGGTGCTAAAATCACGCCTAATGCGACATAAATATTTCAGGATTTCTATGAGGCTGAGTTCCATTTACCTGTAATACCAAATAGCGCAAACACTAGAGATTTATGTGCGAGATCTGTTATTTTAGTGCCTATTGACATTTCCTTTGTGATTTATAATTTACACAGAATTGCGAGAGTAAATCTAAAAAAAAATTTTCGATATCTGATCGACATTTATATCATTTATAAATCCAGCCATGTGACCATATGAATTTCATAATTCGGGCCAAAATCGAAAATGGTTCAGCCCGGCTGACCCGAGAAGGTGACTTTCTTGGGGGTGGATAACTGGGGTGATATAGTACAAACTGATTTCGCCAAAGTGATCATGATTAATTTAAATTTAAATCGAATTTCCGAAATAGTAGAACAGCAATTCAGATAACAGTTTAGTAATACATGTTGATCCTAACACGCGCCGTTGCCTCGATTTAGATTATCAGCATTCTGTTATTTACAATAACGGTCAGCTTTGACCTTTTCACGACGATCAAGTAACCTGTTCGGAAAGAAATAAAGTGAGATATACTAGAAGAGAACCATATTTATTAGAATGAGATTGATATTATGCTTACGCTTCGGCCATTTTCCCTTCTTTTTTTGCCTTTCTTAATTCAGTTACATCTTCCTTGGTGGTCTTGATTCTACCTCCACCCCAGGTTTGGTATTTTTTTCTGCAAAACACAATAATATACTTGAGATTCTAAATGTCTTAACATGGTTGCAGAAATTGAGTCCACGCATATACTAACATCTGTTCAATTTCAAGTTCATCGATTTTCCTGACCTCCTTCTTATCGCTCTTTGCTTTCTTGCGGAATCTCGCTTGACACTTGACGATCCAAGTTTCGCAAAATCCTATTGACTCCGCATCCGCTCTTAACCTGAATCCGCCATCGGCAATCTCGTCAACGCTTAAAAATTTGTCATAATAACTCTGTAATGCCACCCCATCATTCCTTATAACGAGTGTCCATTCTTCCTGTGGGCCAATGGCCTCTCGATCGGCTGTGATTATGCCAAATTTGTCGGAGGCTAGATATTTTCCCGAAAAAGTTTTCAAGGTGATGCGAGATTCCGAACCAGCAACTTTGGCACCCACGAAAACCGAAGATACCTCTTCTGGTTCACCACCTATAAGTTGTTGGTTCGGGGGTAGAGAACGAACACCGATCGTGTTATCTTTCTCGGAACAATAAAGACAGGAAAGTGGTTCACTGTTGAATATGAAAAATAGGGGACCGATGAGGTCATCCTCTGTCGCGACACGAACCCAACCTAAATGAAAAAAAAAAAAGATCAACAAAGCATGTACAATAATGAGAGGCAGACTACAGTTTACCTTCTCTGTTGGCTTCTTCCTCGAGGGACTCTTCTGCCTTACGCTTTTTCTTCTTTCTTTTTGAAAAAATGAAATTAAAATGCGAACTACTATCCAGGTTCTAGCAAAAAAGACAGCTTACCTGGAAGATTTATCACCTTTGAAACTTAACTTTCCTTTAGATGCAATTTTGTAATCCGACATTTCGAGGTAAACATAGAATACAATAATGGTAAGAGCAAATTAGTGATGCAATGTTGTTTGTGTATGTTTGTATCACAATTTCGGCAATGCAATAGGTATGATGCACATATAAGATACGCATACTTTTTTTAGATTTAACTGATAACCTGCAAATCGAATATAAAAAGTGATTGTTTGTTAGCTGTTCAAGATATTTTAAAACTTCCTTCAACTTAAACACCTACCGTTTTTCAGCACTTACTTATCAAATAACCTAAAGATGGCAGCAGGAGATTCTTTGAGATATCGCACGCGCACGACGAATCCACCCGGTATTTACCCATATCACTTCTGAAGTTATGCGAAACATTTCTTCGATGGTTTCATAACCTCTTTCTGATCAGGTCCGCCGGCGACTTACGGGTCAAGAACCATGACGATCCACCCAGAAGAGCTCGCCGAAGTTGATAGACAAGATCCTTCGGAAGAGAATAGTGATCAGTTACAATCGGTCGGAACTTTAAAACTCCGTGGTGGCGGGCAAAACAATAGGAAAGTCAAGTGGGATAACGGAGTCGTTGACAACGAAGGCATGGGCAAGAAAAAGTCAAAAAGTATATATTCTATTCTACTTATCTTTACGCAACCCAGTTGAACTATGTAATAAGCACATTCACTACAACGTTTTATTTAACATTATTTTAGTTTGTTGTATTTACCACAAGCCAAAGCGGTTTGACGAATCTTCGTCCGACGAATCCAGCAGCGACTCTGAAGACTCGGATCATGAACATGAACACCAAAACGGAAGTGACGGCGGTTGTCGCAAAAGTTCTGATCGACGTTGCCGAAGTAACAGCCCAAATGCTTACGAGCGACAACCACAATATAAAAGTAAGCGTGGGATCATAAAATGAAAATTTTGATTCATATAATTGTGGAATAATCGATAGTAAAAGACAATATTTATTATAGATCGACCAAAGCCGATAAATCAAACAACTCCTTTATAAAATAGCAACGTCTACTTCAACATATTGATATCAATCAAATTTTTCGTTTATAGTAAAGTTAATATGTAATCACGAATTAATTGTTATCTTGGGTTTTACATAACTTATTTACACCCGCATGGAGAAAGCTTATCATTCGTTATTCATCAGTTGTAAGAACAATAAAAAAATATTTTTTCTTAATTTAATAACATCAAGATTCCTTTAAAGCGAAAGGATCGGTACCACCAGTTTTTGTTACCAATTCTCTAGGCATGAATTTTTCTACACTTGGATCAATAGTAGGAAAGGGTGGTGGAATGCAGTCAGATGGAAAACATGCAGCCCCTTTCTTATTCACAGAATCCCTAATCCTAACAAATTGATCGTCATACCCTGGAACTGGTCCTTTGACGTAGATCAAATTCAGGACATTATCTATTTTTAGAACCTTGGCATTAACCACGGTGCAATTTTTTCCTCCCATTCTGCCCGCCATCTTTTTACCCTTGAAGACTCTACCTGGAGACTAATTAAAAGTGATGGTCAGAAGATCGTACATATGGGAGGAGATGCACAGTTGAAATGATTTTCGCAAACCTGGTTTTGACCCGTGGAACCGGCCGATCGATGAGCAAGGGAGGTACCATGCGATGCGGGCAACCCTTTGAAACCCCATCGTTTCATTACACCAGCGAAACCTTTTCCAAGCCTATTTGAGTATATATTATATACAAAAATTACCAAAAGGAAATTATGTTATCGACAAATCTTCCTAAAAACGGGAACTCCTACGTTGGTGCCTGTAAGTCAACATATTGTCCCGGAACGAAATGGGCCGCTCTAATTTCAGTACCTAACACAAAAATATGAGTTAGTGGACTTTCAAAGCAACACTGCTGAAAGCAGGCGTGTAACTCACCAACGGGAAGAACAGCATCAGGAGTTACATGGAATTCCATTAATTTCCATTTTGGAGGTACACCGGCGGATTTGAAATGGCCTAGCTGAGGCCTCGGTACATTTTTTTTCTTATCTGTACAACCAACTTGAACAGATACTAAATCTGGACTAACAAATTTGGCATTTTCCTTGATTTGTACTACTTGAACATTTTCCAACTTGAGTGTTAAAGGTGAAAGATGATATTAGATTCGCGGTGATGCGCTCGAACAAAGTCATTTTGTAACAAAAACCATCCGAAAATCACCTGTAAAACTGTACAAGGCTGTCTTACACCCCATTCGTCCCATAACGCCATCATACCTTTTTTTTTAGCAATAACACCTATTCTAATAGATTTTTCGGTCCACGGTAATTTTCGGTTCAACTGCAACGCCCATTTGTCAGGTAGATTCTTTGGCTTGAGACGCGGATGTCGCCTTGATAGCAAAGATCCTTTGCGTTGAATTATCGAAGTGTTAACCCGCGTGGGTGAAGTGACAAAGGTCCATGTTGACTCTTTACTGGCTAATTTTTCATATTTAGCAAAAGTCTCTGGTACCTCTGGAAGTTTTGAGGGATCCTTTGGAGCCTTGTATTTTTTGTATTTCAATGAGTTGACAAAATGTGGTGAATAGTGTAAGGATCTTGTCGGTGTTGTTGATAGAGAACGGATCAATCGAGATAAATGTAAATTCGATAACATTACGTATTTAAAAAAAGAAAGATGCGGATGATATAAAGATCAGAGACGTGACAATTAAATTCTGATTATCAGCGGATCGGGCTGTTGATACGATAGTTCTTTAAATACTATGTAATAAACTATCTCCACATAATGACTTCTCGAAAACTTAACACTTCTAATCAAGATGATGTTATTCGCGGAACCGATGAAGACGCCGTTACGAGCAAACTGTAAGTTATTTAAAGTGTCCACATGTGCAAGTAGATGTGCACAAAAATAATGAGTACTTTACTACGAAAAGTTCGGCAGTAAACATGGGATACATCAAGGACGAATATGTCAAATGGTTTGTTAGAAGACCTGCCAGAAGGTCACCCATTATTAATAGAGGTAAATCGACATCACCTTAATGATTGGGCCCTTGCTCATGATATATAAAAATTAACTTTAAAAATAAAAATACAGGAACATACGTTCGTAACATAGGGTTGGATACCTTGATTATAAAGTTTTTAGAAATTGATGATGTAAAGAAACAAATAGTTTCGCTTGGTGCTGGATCGGACACGAGATATTTTCATCTGAAGGTTCGATTGATCTTCTCTTTTTTGCAGCTAATGACAGATAGGTTAATTCAGATAATTGTGTCCTACGAAAAAAGTCTTTGTCGCGAAAATTCCACAAATATTTCGAGATCGACTTTCCCGAGATTACAGCAAAAAAAGTTCTGACCATTCGAAAACACAAAGAGTTATCTGACTTGATTGGAGATGATGCAAAACTAGGTCAGAATCATAAACCAGATTAAGTTGAGAACTCATTAAATGATCTTCGTGATTATTTATCGATTTGAAAAAAAAAAATAGGGAAGGATAATACAGAGATTTACGCGTCAGATTATTGTTTGCTTTCGGGCGATCTTAGAGGATTCGTCCAAGAAATGGTTCCATGGATGGAATCCAATGGATTTGATCGCAGGTACTATGAAATTTGCTTTGAACCAATCTGCACAATTTTACAATTACGTATTCTTTCTTTCAAACATCCAAAGCATTCCAACTTTGTTTCTATCTGAATGTGTGATGATTTATATGGATTCGAATGATTCCAACAAGATTGTCGAATGGGCGGCTTCCAATTTAATAACATCTATGTTTATAGTTTATGAGCAAATATTACCAAATGATGTATTCGGATCTACCATGTTACAAAACCTAAGACTTCGGAACATAGAACTTCGCGGCATACATGCTTATCCTGATCTAGAAAGTCAGAAAGAGCGATTTCTTTCACGCGGATGGATTCATGCAGAGGCTGTTGACATAAATAAAGTTCATGATTCTTATATTGACCCAAAAGAACTCGCACGGTATCATCTCATCGTGACAATAATGATTTTTTATTTTGGTGTTTTTTTATTAATATTATTGTCATTAGAATATCGAGATTGGAATTTTTGGATGAATTCGAAGAATGGCACTTGCTCGCCGCGCATTATTGCATTGCTTGGGCTTACAAGGTAACCGATGAATCACAAAAACTGCTATACAATAAAGTGCAATTTTATGACTATAAGAATGTAACACATTAGCATTAATAATTAATAAATTGATTATAATAAATTTTGCTACGCCTAAACTTTATTTAATAAATCATTTGCCCTCGTTACTTGACATCTAAATAGAATAAAGAATAAAAAGATTAGATATATTCTCATGCGTAAGATGCGCATCTTTCTATTCAACGTTTCGCTCATAGAGAAGATTAGACATCACAACTCGCTTTACGAGTTCTGACTTCAAGAAAAACGATACTTATTCAAGGGTTATATCATAGCGAAAGCGAGGCATAATAAAAAATAACGAAATACAATATTTACCTTTATCAAAACGTGTCGTGTAAGAAATAACAAGATCATGACCCACACTTGCATCATCCCCGACATTTAATTATGCAACCAACTCAACGTTTTTGACCAAAATTATGCAGATCATTAGGCCAGAATTATAAAAAGCTAGACTAGAATTATTATAAGCCCGGCCAGAATTATAACTAATATAAATAAATAAAATAATAATAATAATAATATATTATTATTATTATAATATAAATTTTTTAATTTATTAATTTTTTATAAAAAATAATTAGCTTAACATTTAAAAAAAATATTTTATTAAACTTAAATATTTTTTATAAATTATATAACAAATATTTAAATTTTCAAAACAATTCTTATTTTTTCTTTTTTAAATATAAATAAAAATATTTATCAGTTAAAATAACAAATTTCTTATAAGATTGAAAATATTTTTTAAAAAAATACATTAATATAAAAGAAATTTTTTATAAATACTTAACTATTAAATTGGTTTTTTTAATAATATTTTTTTTGTAAATCTTAAATTTTTTATATTAAAATTTTTTTATTATTCTTAATTATTATTGTAAAACAATAATTAACAATTGTTTTTTGGGTTTTATTTAATAAAACTCATAAATTTTTTTTTAATATTATATATTATATTAATTAAACCAAAATTTTTTTTATTCAAATTTATTATTTGTTTAATTATTTTTTATTTTATGATTAAAATATTAATTATACTTAAATTAAATTTTTCTATTAAAAAACTCTTAAATATTAACAAATTAATTTTAAAATTGTAAAATTATAAAATTATTTTATTGAAAAATTAAAATAATATCTTTAAATATAAATTTATTTTTTAAATTAATAAATAAAATAAAAATACTTTATATACAGTCTGTTACAAAAGATTTTAATATTTTTTAAATTTTATTTTGACTTATAATTTTATAAATAATTAATAAAACAAGACAACATTTATATATTTTTCTTATTTTAAATAAGAAATAGAAAATATTTTATTTAATTATATTTATTATTCAAGTAGTATATAATATTTTAAATAATAACTAATAAGATATAACTTTAGTTGGTTATTTAAAAAGATAAGAGTTAATATTTTCAGTTTAATTTATTTTTTATAATCTTAATTTAATATAACAATAATCAATTAAAAATTTTATTATAAACTTTTTATTTATTAAATATATTTTTCTTAATTAAATATATATTATTAATCAAAATTAATATATTTGAATTAAAATGATGGCTTTAAAATTTTTTTTACCCATTTTTCAAATGTTGTTTTTTAGATATTGCAATAATTATAAGGTTAATAATAAAACAAAATTTTTGATTTGTGATAAAGACAACTTTTTACACCAGACTCACATGAAAATCATATTATTTCATATAAACTAATGTGAATGTTATTTAAGAATTTAAATGCGATTACTTTTTTTTTTCTAGCTTACATTTTTTGTGTAACGACCCGGTTGAAATTTCCAAAATTTCAGATTCTACAATATCAGAATTATTTTTCCATAATATTTCAATTATATTCAGTGACATGAAATGGTATCAGATGTCTTAACAATTTCTTATATTGAATAGCACACCGTCTTATCCAATTAATTATTTTTACACTTAAATATTTAGTTGATGGTGCCTCCAAATGACATCTATTTTTTTATTCTTCAGATTTCATGCAGGCCTGCGCAATACTATCAAGATCGCGTTGTCCATGTTGTGTAATTTTGCGACCACTTTTAAAGATATTCACAGTAAAATAAATATTATCAAATAAAATCAATAAAAAGGTAAAACAGGTAATATAACTTACCCGTAGTCATCTTTCTCCAAGACATTAATTTTTTCCAGAGCCTGAAGGACTTTACGTGCAATGGATCCGGATGATTTCGCATGATGTGAAGGACGAGTGCCTCTTCTTTTTCGACCACCGTGAAGTTTTTTTAATGCACCAACACCGACTCCACTACGAAGATAGACGTGTCGAGCAACAGCCGCTGAAAAGGTATAACAGCAATAAATATGATGTCACCAAATAATTATCTAATTTCGAATAAAGGTCCTCTAACATTTTACCTACCAGCCCTAATATAAAACCAATCGGGATCATAAGGGGCCAACTCCTTATATGGACCAGTCTTTACGATATCGACCCACTTGGGTACCTCCAGCTTACCGCCACGCTTCAAATGAGCGGCATAAAACTTCACAAATTCATGGGGATTAATGTCTTTAACCGTTACACCACTAGTCATCTATTATAAAATATAACTGAGTTTGAATTAATTCGAACAAAATCGTTTTTCATCTATTGCATCTTTAATACCTTGTACGGATTTAAAGAACGTGAAAGAAGGATCAAATTTACTAAAAATTTTTATTTTATAAATGTGTGAAGATCATTACTTGACCAATAAAAATCATCAGAAAAAAAATTTTTTTTTTTGCATCTCTAAGAAATTCGTATCTACTTATCCTATAATATTTATAATATTGCATATACAGTATCTTTTTAAAACAAATTAGTATATTTTAAACGTACTATTAATTTCAAGAAAAACTTATAAAAAAAATATTATATTATAATTAATATCTATATCAATTCAGTTAATTATAAATATTTCTTAAAATTATATTTAATCAAATAAATTTTGTAATAATATTTATATTAAGAAAAAAATTTTTTTTGGACAAGCATTATATGATAATAGCTATGCTATATTAATATAAAAAGATTTGATGACATGTATTTATTATTTTAGATTATAAATCTATCATAAATATGTTTTAAAGATAAAGAAATTATACTTTTTTAATTTGATAAATAAAATATTTTTATTTTTACCTTTGAAAGAATTTTTATAGTTCTAATAAATGCCTTTATAAGAATATTTATAAATTTATTTAAAATACTTATTTGTATATAAAAGCATAAATATATAAATGTAATTTATTTTATAATAAATCTAATAATAAAAGATAACAAAATTAATTAAAATTAATATATAAATAATATTAATTTTTAAGAAAATGTTACTAATCAGTATTATAATAAGATCACGTGTGTCTAAAATTAAAAGTCGAAAATACACATATAAAGGATGCATAATTCATTAGGCCTTTAATTATTTATTATATTTAAAGTTTTCACGTATTCAGTAAAGTTTACAACCCAATAAAAAAAAAAGATTCTTTTACACATATTATGTAGACACATTATTAAACCAAGTCACGACTGTAAACCTGTTTTTTTATACACCCGCTCTGAAAATAACTCTTCGTTGACTTCGATACTGCAAGACTTCACGTCTTACCAGAATATCAATAGCTCTTGCTATAATAATAGGCTTGTATTGGTTCTACGTAGAATGAAATACGAATTTAATTTGTTTTATATTCGTGATTTAATTCCATATAAATAATAATAGTATCAGTAACAAAAAATAAACCTTTTCGAGATCCTTAATTATTCGCTGTACAGAAGCCCTCGAGCCTATGGGAATGCGATCTTTAATTTGC